TCCGTCTTGGGTGGCCCTGCACGGTATAGCTCATGGCTTCACTGAGTTACGAAAGCCCCTTCGCCACGACAAGGCATTGATCCATGAAGGGGATACATTACTGACCATATCTAAAAAAAACACTCAAAGCATCTAAGAATGGGGAGGTAACAGAACTGCCATTCCTCCTATGAACAGATTTTCCTGATAGAATTTTAGCAAGTGTTCCTTTGGAAAAGCCTAATAATTTTACCAAGTGTTATCACTTATGTAAGAGATTGTAAAAATTCAGGAGTCGTTATATAAACTGTTGTCTGTGAAAAGACTTATCTCCTTGCCAGATCACAGGAAATCTGTTAGAAAGAAAACCAGAAAGTCTCCACTCTAATACACATGGGGACTTACTAGTTCTAAATGGGAAATAGTTCAGTTGCTGGAACTCCTGTACCCCCATCCAGCAAGTCTTGCTAAAGAGAATCATGCTCGGAAAGAATCACTTTGGGTTTTAGGCAGCTGCCAAAAAGCCTGAAGCTGCTTTGCAGCTTTGGGAAAACGTAGTACAGCCACCAACCAAATATCAGTAGATGGAGATGTTTTGAAGCAAACAGGACTTCTGTTCAGGCTGATGCAGAGTTGCCAAGCATTGCCCAACTTGAGATTCCAGAACCTCCCATTGACACAGTTTGGTTAACTCAATTGCAATTATCAATATGGCAGAAAGATTAAATTCTTAAATCCGTAACTGCAGAGTAATCATGTTAACTATACCTAACCTTAATTCAGTGGAACCGGAAATGAAATCAGATTTAATTTTTGTTCTGGCCCCAACTCTGTTTGGGGAAGCATATCACTCGAAAGTCAAGTGCGGTCTTTGCACCGGAAAAAGTTGCACACCCATAAGCTAACTCAACAAGTCTGGCTGGCATGGAACCTTTTCCTTTCGCATCTCTCATGTTTCTTATGCAAGCTTGTACCTCCTACGTGCACTGTGCGTAATCAGTTGTGATTCTTGTTATTTGCCAACTCCTTTCCTTGTTTTCTACCTGCAAACTTACTTTCATAGAGTTTGAATGGCATGATACTTTTGTGGTGGTTGCCCTCTTGTCTTTCTGCATTGGCTGTTTTTGGATTCAGGGATATATATTTAGTTGCACTTTTTTTCTTAGCTCTTACTTTTTATTTTCTGTTTGGGGAGTGAGACGTTCCTGAATAAAATAGATCTTGGGGGGAAGAGGAGAAAAAAAGACCAAAAAAAAAAAGGAGGAAAACAATGGCTGTGTAATTAGGTCAGTTGTTTAAGGCCATTTTAACTTTGGTTTGAGTTCGTTTGGGCTTTTGGCTGGCAAGTGTGTGGTGAAAACTCAACCTGTTCAACCTAGCTACACACAGAAGGTCTCATGTTTTTATTCCTGTCATCTCCAGATAGGACTGGTAAAAAAAACAAATTAATAAAAGCTCCTGCCTGAAACTCTGTGGGAGCAGCTGCACTAGCTAGTCTCTGTGTTTTAATATTAGATTAGGTCAGGGCCTGACTCAATAGGGGGTGGTTTCCTTTAACCGTAAAACTAAAAAAAAAGAAAAGCTTATGCAAGGTGTCACATCTTATCCAGCCTCAGAAATGGCCAGGAGACTTGACTTTTTGTAAGAAGTGGCCGGAGGTCCATATCACTGCAAAGCCACCAAAACTCTTCTAGCTTGAGGTCAGGCCTTCCTTTAGGGAGAATATGCTTATAGTCAGGACAGAGTGGTGCCTCAGGGGTGGACTTCCTGCCAGGCAACCTCACACACCTTTGCCCCTCATTTTCTCTTTATTGCTAGAAGTGCCCTATCAGACAGGCTCAATACCCCAAGTGGTGTCTTATCTGTAGAGTTTACAACTTCCTCAGAATGCAGTTGACCTGTTCCCATTCTGCAGAAGCTGAGAACGAAAGGGTGGTTAAAGGTAGCTTCCATGGCATTTACGCTTGAGATGGAATTTGAACTGGCTGAGTACCAACGCTACAAATCTGTCCACCTATTTTGTTCCTGTTGACCCATTCTGTGTTGAGGACCAGCCATGTGTTACTTATTTCATTCAATTTAGTCGCCACCCAATTCCAGACCATCTCTGGGCAGTTCACAATATAATAAGCAATAAAAACACAAAACGAAACAAGATGGGATCCGGTCACTCGATACGAAAACAGAGCAAAGCACAAGGGCTCCATCCATCCTAAGCCAAGGCCTGGGAGAAGAACCAGAAGCTATTCCAAGACATGGACCATTTCCAGGGTGTCCAATTCCTTCACTTCCACCAAAGCATCAAAAAACATTCCCTTGATTTAGGGAAGTATCTGATTGTCAGTAAGCCTGGATGCTGAGCTGCTTGGCTTAGTAGTCATAGCAGATCTCAGATTATAAGTCTATTAGCCCCTTGCACAAGTCTCAGAGTCTTCCCCAGTTTTATTTAACCATGACATCAACCTGCTCTGGCATCATCTTTTCTCTGCTGAGTCCCCATGACATGGTCTTCATCTGGCTCCCAGCCCATGACAACCTTATGTCACCTTTAGTTGTATTGGTGTTAAAGGAAGTGTTTTCCCCTTTATTCTGACACACTCTAAGAGCAGCCTCCAGGTGTATAAAATCAGCTAGGCTTTGTCACCCATAATCTTGGAGGGAAGTCTGGTGATTGAAAGTGATGGGGAACAGAGGCAACAAGAGGCAGAAAAGGGATCAACCATGGTGACCGCACACTTCATGCTGATCTGGTTTTCTGCTGACTCAGTTGGGTGGGACACTTCAGCTTCACCATAAGGAAAGGCCTTCTCTCTACATGTTCATGTTTTTGTAATGTTCTGTAATCTTGACACATACGCACCCCCCCCCCCAAGGAGGTTGTTCTTGGCGAAAGGTTTAAATAAAATTTAACTAAGATTTAAAAATACTTGAGCAGAAAGAGATGCAGCTTTTGAGAGAGGCTGAAGCCATTATGTTTCAGTAAAACAGAAATGAAAGTGTGTTGGGTTTCCTCTTCTCTCCCCCGCCCCACCAGCTACCCTTTTCAGGCAGTTTCAGTTGGCCATCAATGATTAACACAAAGTCATGCGAATGGAAAAGCTGGCAAATGTTGTAATTGATTGGGAAGCTCAGCTAAATATTCCTGGTTTGTTTTGTAGGGAGTCCCTCCCGGTGGAGTTCCACGATGTCCCTCTCGGTACGACCCCAGCGGCGCAGTCTGGTGGTCAGGATCAATAGGAGCCAGTCCTTTGCTGGGGTCAACTCCTCCCAGGACAAATCTTTCAGGTAGGCTCAGCAAAAATGGGTTCAAGCAGCAGAGATATCAGGGAAGCCTCTGATTTCCTGCATGGTTCTCGCTGATGAATTGGAACAAGGAATCCCTGGGGGTAGACGTCAGATATTTGGGATAAAACAGGTGCAGCTGGATAAGAAGACACGCCTGTTCAGTTTTGTCAAAAGGTCTGTTTGCTCTCCCCAAACATTTTTAAGAGCATTTTACAAGCGCCCTTGGCCAATTGCAAAATTCCTCTTCCCCAGAAAGCAAATTATTTTGGGTTTGCTCCTCTGTTTCCCCAAATTAGTCCTGATTTTTCTCCAAGTAACCTTTGATTTTTCTCTGGGCAGGTGGGCATTCTTCCAAGGTCCTGGCATGCCCTCACTCATCATATTTAAGTCCTAGGAGTGCCTGTGAGGCCTGTGTGTACCCCAAAGGGGTTCTTGGAAATCAAGATTCAGTAGGGGTGCTTCCAATTTATTTTATTGAAAAAGATCCATTAAAGGACCAGCTTGATGTGACAGGAAGGAGGAAGCTGGGCACAGGTGAAAGCTGGATCTCAGAGTATGATGATCAATGCCCTTCTTTAATCCAAAGTTAAACCATGGATTTAGCAGCAAATAGATACCACCAGGCCACAATACTTTATGTCTTGTATTATGTACAGGCAGTGCTGGATCAGGGTAGCATGTTGAAATTCATAGAATCAGAATTCCTTTCATTGTTCTCCAATGTATTACACTATTCTACAAATCCATATTTGGATTTCACATTTTTCAGAGCATTGAAGGGCTCCAAAGCAATATCTCAGATTTTTGGAATATCTATGCAGAAGCTGTACCTGTTAGCTTGGCAGCTGTTGCCCTCTCAAATCTGAGAGTGTTGATGTTAAAAATCCCCACTTCTGTCAATTGCTCTAGAAATATCAGTAGAGATTCTAGCTGCTGGAGACACAGTTGGGTTTCTTGGCCTCAAGGGAAGTGAAACGCAGTACTGTACTATAATCTTACAGTTGCTTGTTAAGGATCAGGAGAAACATCTTTTTTTAAAAAAAAAAAAGAAGCAACATGTTTCTAGTCCTCATCATGGCAGAAAATAAACTTTTGTGACACAAAGACATTTCAGTTAAAAGAGATTTAGCAGGACTGTTAGAGGTTTGTTTGTTTGTTTGTTTGTTTGTTTATTTATTAAATTTTTCAACCGCCCATCTCCCCCCAGTGGGGGAACTCTGGGTGATTCACAACAAACATTAAAAACATAAAATATATAAATACATTTTTACTAAGTTTGCAGTGGGGACATTTTCTATTGTCCTCATAACAACCATACTTCTATTAGGTTATTTAAATTACTGCTTTCCCCCCTCATCTGTCACCAGCTCTTTTATGAATCTCCAGCTAGGGAATTTACACCAGCTTTGAGCACTTGGAAATCTCCCCATTTTGGGATTATTATGAGTGTATTGAAAAGTAGGTAACAAAAGATATAAATTAAAAAAAAACAAACCCTAGGCAACCTTTGCATCAAACTTCCAATTGGATCTCAAAGTTACTGTATTTAACGACTGATCCACCGTTCTTCAGAAGTCCTTAGTATTTTTGAATGAGCTAAACTTCAAATGTCTTTGGGGCACTGCGTCTGTCCCGTGGCCTTTCACCCATCATCTCTTCCTGCATTGGGGATTCTTTAGAAGTGTATTCCTGGCTGAGAAAGGGCCCAAATTGTGTAACAGAACATCTGCTTTGCTCATAAAAGGGTTCGGGTTCAGTAGCTGTCCTGGCCATGTAGCAAGAGAAGGCAACGTTCATCTTCCTGAAACCACAAAATAGCTGTTGGAGGTCAAGCTGACAGTGACAGACAAGATGTGCATATACACTGACTTCATATAAAGTAAATTCCTCTTTTCCAGTTTGGCCCAGTAAACCCACTATACCTCCAGTACTGAGCTTTACAAGAAAAAATAGAAGCAGGTAGTCAGAAGCAGGATTAAATTAAAGCAGATCCAAAAGAGAAACCATATGTACAATTGCACATATCAATTCTGAGAAATTCTAAAGCATCCTGAACATTTATACAACTAGAGCAAAAATTGAAGAGTGAACAAGACTGAATTTAAAACTCATCATTTTCAGTTTGAGATAAATAATGGCTTTTAAATGCTTAGCTATGTAGTTAAGTAATTATTGGCCCCTTTCGGTTAAAAAGTTAAATAAACACCAGATAGTTGTCTTTCCTGCAGTCAGATTTTCCATTTTCTTTCCTTTTTCCTAGGCTTAGTACAGGAAAGAGCACTTGACAGTTGTAAAGTTATCTGATGGAAAGACCTCTTTCCTAATCCAAACACAAACACACATACAGAGCATGGCTTTTAGGCTGGGACTCATTCCTGTTGAAGAAAACTGGCCTGACTGCAAGAAAGAGAAGGAGAAGAAGGAGAAGATGACCACCAAAATAATGACCCAGGCCACTGTACCCATGTCAGTTTAAACTAGTGTGGCTTGTAAACAGGCTGAACATGAGTTGGTGCAGCTGACTGGTGGAAGAAACCAGGTTTTCATTTGAATTGGAGAAGAGAATAATGAAACACCAATGGCCAATGGAAAACTTGAGTGTTGAAGGCCAAAGCAGCTGGAGCGTGTCATCTTGGGAAACCAAGTCAGCTCTATGATGCTTTGCAATTGTTTATTACCTTTTAATCCTTTTTTTTTTTCCCCTTGGCTCAGAAGCTTGAGGTGACACACAAGGTTCTTTCCTCATAATAATCATGGAAGGAAGATTTGGGATGAGAAGTAGATCCTGGCCCAAAGACAAACTCTGGATGAATGAGAGTTGGCCAAAGTCTAGGGAAATGATTTGATTTGGGGCACCTTTGGGATGGGTGGGTTTCTTTTTAAGTGAAAGTAGGAACTAATTGTCTTCAAGGGGCATGTTGTCTACATTTCTTCTCTTAGTCTGAGGAGGAAAGGAGGGGCCATCAAAAATTGGCTGAATTGCCACTCGCTTTCAGCAGAACAGGGTGGGATGAAGGTTTACATGTAGTCCATAGACTCTGGGTTGCTTCTCCCTGCAGTACACCGCATGGTTGGCTTTCACCATGATGCTGTACAATTTTTTGTGTATCACTAATAGATTTTAGAGGGGACCAGAGACACTTTTCTGGTTCATGCAATCTCCCAGATGATGGGTTTTCAAACTTTTTCAGGCCACAGAACCTGTTAGTTGGGAAAAAACACCAGCACCCTGATCCCCTGATCAAGAGGCAAAACTCCAGTGATAGAAAAATTGACAATAAAAAGCCTTGGTGCTCGTTGTAGTGTCTTTATGCAAATTTATATATTAATGTTACTTGAATTTCACAAAAGCAAATGCCCCAATTAGTGTCCCAGAAAGTTCCTCCATGTATTGTATGGATAAAAAAAATAATAAATGGTTATGTGTAAATGCCAATTTAACATATTTCACCAGATTCAGTAACTGGGATGTGACTGCTTTTCCTTAGAAAATTTGCTATGGAAGCCTGTGGCTGCATTTGAGTGAACCTTCCCCCCGCCCCCCCTTTAGTCCCCATCAAGTTCTCCCAGGTTCCGCAGAGCACACTTTAAAAAACCCTGTCCTACATTGCACAATCAGCTTCAGCAATCAGAAGCGTGGGAAAATATCCTTTCTCTGCTGAAATATTTTTCTTGAACATTTTTAAGGCTTTTTCGTATTACTGCAGGGGTGTGGATGTGTACAGAGAGGGCTCTTTTCCCACCCAGGCTACGTATCCTGCATTATTAAGTATCAGCTGGCCTGCCTATTCCATGATATCTTCTTTTGCGTGGGGACTTTTATTATCATCATCATCATCATTATTATTTTTTGGTAGGAATTTCCCTGCGTTCAGTACACCAACGGTCTCCAGGAAGTCTGGCTCCAGGGTCAGTAGGATGTTTTCAATGTCTCATAAATCCCCTCCACCCAAGGTGCCCCAGCCAGAGCGACTCGATGAAGTGTACGAAGCGTTGAAGAAAGGGCTAAGGTAAGCGTTGCTGCTGGCACCACCGAGCACTCAACGTGTGACATGCGGTTGCACCTGTTCACTCAAAATATCTAAACTTACCTTCCTAGCACGTGTTTGGATCTGAGGAGGCTTGTGAGGAATAACAGCGAAACAGTGTCTTAAGCAAGACGTTGCCCTTGGTGTTGGGCAATGCCACCCAGCTCTCAAAAGCCGCAGTAAAAATGAACAGTTTGGTGTAGTGTTAAGGCTCTGGGCTAGAAACCAGGAGACTGTGACTTCTAGTCCCACCTTAGGCATGAAGCCAGCTGGGTGACCTCGGACCGGTCACTCTCACTCAGCCCTAGGAAGGAGGCAAGGGCAAACCACTTCTGAAAAACTTTGCCAAGAAAACTGCAGGGACTTGTCCAGGCAGTCACCAGGAGTCAACGTTGTCCTGAAGGCATACACACAACACAACAATAATCTGTCGGGTGTTACAACCCATATCTGTAATTAGAAAAAAAGCATGCAAGCTATGTTCTAGCCAAGCTGATCTCAGGAAAGCTAAACAGCATCAGGCATAGTTTATTCTTGGATGGGAGGCTATTTAGAAATCTAGTAATCTAGACAGGGAAGTTTCAGAAAACCCTAGAGAAAGGTAATGGCAGAACACTCCAGTACAGTTGTGAAGAAAACTATGTGAAGAGCTCTGTGAAGTCACTAGAAGCCAAGCTCAAGAGAGTCTTCTTTTACGTTATTATCGATTTTTAAAAGTTGGTTATAACTGAATAGTTTCTGTTGGTGCTTGAAACATGATTCATGCTTCTACAGAGCGTCTCCCTTCACCCACCATCCCTCCCTTTTCTTTCTCTGATCTTTTTGAAGTCAGCAGAGAATTTGGAAAAGGAGTTCTGTTTACATTTGCTTTTTTCTGAATAACGCATAATTATTCTGCATAATTGTGGATGCTGAGAATGCAGTTTGTTGCATCAGGCAACTTATCCTGGGGTACTACATATATTTTCAATTTTAGTGCTCATCAGCTCCAGCCGGCATGGCTAGTTGGCCAAGAGTTATGGGAGTTGTGCCCTGAAACTTCCCAAGAACACTAGGTTGATTGACTATGGCTGGAAACTTGGTCATATTTCTTCGCCTAGTTATGTGTTATGTGAAGAAGATCATGCAGGTCTAACTACATTCACACATTGGAGGAAGCCATAATGCAGCTCATAAGTTTGGGCTCGTTTGTTTCAGAATTGTTCCAACATGGATTCTATCCCCCCTTGCTTTGATCCATAAATCATCATTTTCCAACCACAATGGCTGGGTTTACACCTCATGTCAAGCCAAAATGAGGTCCCCCACACCAAGCTTAGCACCATATGTCAACCCAGCCTTCATGCTGTACGCAGCTAAGGTCATTATGGCTTGTTTAACAAACCATGACAAAGTCCTGGCTCAGCTTTGTGTAAATTCAGTTGGCATTGGTTTCCACCCCCCACCTAGAGTTCAGCTTGTGAATCAAGAGTGCAGTCAGCCTGGTGGGAATCAACTGAATGGGAAGTGTTCTGCTCTTGGGTTTGACTGCCAAGCAAAACATCCTGCATGAACTAGGGCAGCCACTTGAATTGGGGACCAGGAGGCTGCCTGCCCTAATCTTCCGAGGGATGTGGAGAGTGTTCTGCTTTCTGTGCTCAGTCCCATCTCTCTTTGCAGTGCTTACTTGGAAGTGCACCAGCTGGAACTGGAGAAGCTGAGTACCCAGATCCGTGAGTCCAAGAGGAATTCTCGCTTGGTGAGTGAAGCAGTTCCTGTCTTGGGTAACAGCGTTTATCTTGAGACACAAGACTCACTGGCAAATTGCAAAAACTCAGCCGGTGTTCTCCTCCCATGGTACCAGCTTTGACATTCAGCCCTGCCCTCAGTCTTGGAGACATGCCAATCTTCCAGTCGCTTGTGGAATGGGTGGTGGTGGTGCTAAAGTACTGTTTTGCATGTATTTTATGCACAGGATCTCCCCAATAGATGCACGCAAAAATACATACATACAGGTACCCAATATATACATGGGTAATGCATACACAAGAGAGCCAGTTTGGTGTAGTGATTAAGGCATCAAGCGAGGAACCAGGAGATTGTGAGTTCTAGTCTTGCCTTGGGCAAGAAGCCAGCTGAGTGACCTTGGGCCAGTCACTTTCTGTCAGTCCTAGGAAGGAGGCAAGGGCAAACCACTTCTGAAAAACTTTGCCAAGAAAACTGCAGGGACTTGTCCAGGCAGTCTCCGAGATTTGGAGACAATTGAATGAATTAAAAAAAAAATGCATACACCTACACGTGCAGTACACACTTTCCAGAGCTTATGGAAACATGGCCCTTCTTGCCATAACTACAGGGGATGCAGCTTTGAAGGATCTGCTCAAAAGAGCACATTAGCAATGCCTGATCTGGTGCCATGTATTCAGCAGTTCTTTCAAGTTCCTGAATCCTCCTGACCTTCACCTTCTTCTTTTTCTCCTTTAGGGCTTCCTCTATGACCTTGATAAGGTAAGACATGCTAGGAAAGAAGCAGAGAACCCAAGGGACTATGTTGGGTGGGACAGGATTGCCATCTCTTGTATCCCGTATGTTGCAGAGAGACATTGCTGACATGGGTCGAGTTCATTGATTCAATTGAAACCCTGCGCCCTGCGCCTTCCCTCTCCTCTAGGAATTGCTGCCTCAATCTTTTGCTTCCTTAAAGCATCATCAGAGGATTGAAGGAGCTAAGATGTAGGAGTTTGCTCCTCTCTTCTGCAACCAGCAGCAGAATGGGGGTGAGGGTTTCTGCTTAACTCAGTCGGGCAACTTTCCTGCCTGCAGGCAGAAAATAAAGAGGAACCCAGATCTTTTTCCTTGTTGGAAGAAAGTGGTGTGAAGACAGGTTTTTAAATGGATGGAAAGCAAAGGGTGAGACTGTTTCTCCCTATCAAGCCCTCCTTTTGTATGTGGCTGCTGCCCCTGATATCTCCTTTGGATTTTTAAAAAATGCCTAGAAGAGAGGAGTTGATTATTCCTCCCTTTTCTTCTACTTCTCTGCAAGGGTTGAATATGATTCAGGAAGAGGGCCACTACCCGTGTGTACATTCTTTCCACTTTATTTACATCCAGTGAATGGATTTTCCTATCATCAGGCAAAACCTGCTGGACAAGAGGCAACAGTGGGAGAAAAAGAGATAGGCCAACACAACTGGAAGCTAAGCTTTTTTTAAACTCCCCTGGCAGATCTTTTCACGAAAGCTGGTTCTTTCTAGCTTTCCTGGAGGGAGCCAGGAAAACACAGTTAAATTTCCCTTGATGGCCTGTGTGCTTTTCCAGGATGATTTTCACTTGGTTCCTGCCTTTTCCCAAATGGTTCTTGGAGTCTGTGTGGCATCTCATGCTGGGGTTCTGCGCAGAGGAGTAATAGTTAAAACGAAGGGTTTGACTTTTCTCATTGGACTGGAAAGCTGTTTTCTCGCCAGGGCTTACTATCAAAGAAATACACACCTATCCTGGGGTCCCCAAAGGTGATAACTGGGTGAGAAATAGACTCATGAGTAATTTTTTTGCTTCCTTCCAGGGTAGCCTGGGTGTCTGAAGGATTTATAGGATCCTGCACTCCTTTACCAACTGACTTTCCAGTTCCTCCATAATGGGATTTCTTTTTTATTTCACAGCAAGTCAAGTCAATTGAGCGTTTCTTGCGTCGCTTGGAGTTTCATGCTAGCAAGGTACCTGCTGCTCCTGAGTTAACCATGCCTGTAGGATTGCTGTGCCAAGAAAAGTCAAATTTTTAATCGCCTTTATAAATTGTGCCCTTAGAACCTATTTGCAAATATTTGCCTGTTTTGCATAGCTTAAACCTAGAGCAGGGGGATTCGGCTGTAGCTTTCCAAAGGTTTCAAGACGAGCAATTTCCCTGCTACTTGATCCTTCTTAACTGGAGTTGCTAAGGACTTTTAGCATGTAAAATTTGGGTTCCACTTTTTCTCCTCCCCAAAGAGAAGGAGAAAAAAAAAATGGGAGGAGAGGAACAGGAAAGATCAGGAAGAGCTTTTTGAGGACAAAATAGTCTGTTGTGCTACCTGGGATGGTCTGTGAACCTAACCTTCTGGATATTTCAGCAGGTGCACTCACAGCTGGCTCAGCTTTCTGCTAAACCAACTTGCAGCTTCTCACTCTAGTTCTCTGGGTTTCTTTTCAATAGATTGATGAGCTCTACGAGGCCTATTGCATCCAGCGACGGCTCCGAGATGGAGCTCACAATATGGTCAAGGCCTACACAGCTGGTTCCCCTGGCAGCAAGGAGGCGCGTGAAAGCTTGGCTGAAGCTGGCAAGGGCTATAAGGAGTACACGGAAGTGAGTCAAGTTGGCTGGCACTGAGGAAGGAAGAAATCTGTTGGGGGAACAAGAGGAAAGTCCCTGGGTTGGCAGCATTAACAGTCAGTTGTCTGATTTCTCCCCCATGCAGAACATGTGTCTGTTGGAGAGTGAATTGGAGAGCCAGTTGGGAGAGTTCCATATCAAGATGAAAGGTAGGAAGGGACAAATAACATCAGCATGAGGAAGCTTTGTCAGCCATTTTAAAAGCACCCTTGGGCATAGGAGATGGTTTGGAGAAGCAACAGGAGAAGGAGAAGGCTGTTGACCCTTTTGCCTCCTGATGTTTTCCTCCAGATCCCAAAGATTTCTCATAAATGTGTGTCTGGAGAACATCAGCTCAAGAGATGGGATGGTGGTGGTGGCCCTAGAATCTCTCCTTTGTCTGATGCTTTATGAAGAATAACAACATTAGGACTACCTTTTTTGGCCATGATGGAAGCTATAATCCATAACTTGTCTTGTCATTCTCTTGCAGGATTGGCTGGCTTTGCTAGACTCTGTGCAGGGGACCAGTATGAGGTTTGTGAAAACAAGATGGGTGATGGAGGGAGGAAGAGTATATGAGCTCTAGAGTTGGGTAGGATTGAGGAAAATGGACTTGCAAATGGGAGCTGAATAGGGAATTGTTTTCTGTTCATTGACAGCCTTGGGGGGGCGGTCACCAGATGACATGCTGGTGCTTTCCAGATGTTCACATCAGAGTCATCCCAGAAGTTGGAAGGTTGTCCACTATTGCTTAAAGGATGGGGTGAATTTGAGAAAGCATCCCCTCTGCTTGCTATTGAAGGAAGGCTTGCAGTCAGGCTGGCTTAAAGTTGTGAGTCTGAATCTTGTTGCTAGTCACCCACCTAATACCAGAATTCCTCCTTCTTCATGGCAGATCTTCATGAGGTATGGACGCCAGCGATGGAAACTACGGGGTCGCATTGAGGCCAACAGCAAGCAAGTGTGGGACAGTGAGGAGATGATCTTCTTGCCCCTCATTACAGAATTTCTGTCTATCAAGGTGATTGATGCCACCCTAGTCAGCTGGGTCTCCTACCTAGAAAAGATGAGGCCTTTCCCTTATTCACGATCATTCTGCTTTTTCTTCCTTCTTTCAGGTGACGGAACTCAAGAGCTTGGCCAGCCATGTAGTAGTGGGGAATGTCTCTTGCGAGACCAAGGATCTCTTTGCAGCCCTGCCCCAGGTGGTGGCAGTTGATATCAATGATCTCGGCACGATCAAGCTGAGCCTGGAGGTCAATTGGAAGTGAGTGCTCTTGGCCTTGAGGCTCATTATGCTCTCCTGTAATGTGGGGACATGGTTGGGTGTCTGGAGCCACAATGAAAGAAGGGTTCTGGTGAGAGAATCCATCGTGTCTCCTGGCAGATCTTCCAAGAGATGCAAAGAACACATAGGGCTACCTCTTCCATCTGTGGTACTCGCTTTTTCCCTCTTCCCCACTAACCACTATGCTTTCCTTGCATCAGTCCCTTCGATAAAGAGGACCAGCCGTCTTCTGCCAGTACTGTGAATAAGGCATCGACGGTCAATAAGCGATTCTCCACTTACAACCAGAGCCCGCCTGACACTCCTTCCATGAGAGAACAGGCCTTTTATGTGAGTACTCCTTCAATGGATGCTAGATTTATTAAGATATGGGTGGGAGGGAGAGCCCTTTGTCTTTATACTGGGAAGACAATACTCTACTATATTGTACTATACTAGCTCCACCGAGGACCTGGAGTGGGTACCGTCCAAGAAGCAAATATGCATTACTCTCCTCCCTCTGTCTTATCCCCAAAGCTTACATTACGGTTCAAAAGATGTTTTGAAATCAAAGCAGTTCTCAGGCCAAACTCCCTTGGATGTCTTTTGTTCCTGGGTGTTAGACAGGACGTTCTCATACTTGTCTATTTAATTGCTTCTGTATCTCCTAGAATTTAGACTAGGGGTAGAATTTGTTAAACCACACACTAGTGTAGCCCTTAATGCTTTGGCTACAGCCCCCAGAATTCTCCAGAAGTTCTGCAGAAGAACTGAATTCTAACATGTAATGAAACAGGTGGGGCCAGTGATTAAATATATGGAGGTAATTGTATTAGCTACTTTTATTTAATCCAATTTTATTTTGACCTGGCCCTGCCCATTTAATCCTGGCCTTGTCTACTTCTGGAAGGTGTAACCTCTAGCACATCATTTAAAGGCCCTGAAAAATGTTGTGTGCCTACGTTGCCTTAAGTCACATCAAGGGAAGGGAAAGGGGAGAAAAAGTGTGCAAATAATACATCTTCTTTTGCGGTCCAAGAACAAATCATGTTTTATCAGACTAAGGCTGTTCACATTTGTAGGTTAAAAAAAAAGGGAAGGAGTACAACTAATTGTTCTAAATGGGGAAAACTTACAGCTAGATTCATTGCAGAGTAGGGTGTTCTTTGTCCTGATTTCCTGAAAAATCCATAAATGATGAAATCGGGCGTCCACCTGTGGTTCATTCAAGTCCTTGGTGATGATGGTTGCCTCTTTCTCTGCTCAAGAGCCTGCCTTGGGAGGCGGTCCCCAAGCACAGGCGGGCCTTGATGGACGTCTTCCAGGAGACCCTCCTGGAAAGGCTGCCGTGGAGCTGTTCATGCAGCGACGTCTCCTCGGTGCAGCTTAGCACAAGGCCATCTCAGAGCTGCGTAAGTGCTTGCACTCTGGCATCGCTTGGTGTCCCAAAATAGAGCTTCTCCCACTTTAGTCTGTAGTCCCTGATTTTAAAACCTGATGGCAGAGCTCAGGTAGGATAAGTGGTACTTGGCAATAGTGAACAGTAAGTGGCTTTCTCTGCCTTGCCGGCTTGTAGTAGTCGCTCTCGATTGTGCGTTTATTAGCTGCTGCTCCTGCAGGTCGGGGGGGGGTGGTTCCATCATTGTGTAGGCTGCTGCCTCATCCTTTTTGTGTGTCCCCATACCACTTTGGATCCTGTACTATTCTGTTGTTCTGGACTCACCCCGGCGCTAAACTTTGGATTTGGGTTCTGAGAACAGCAGTTTAGCACAAACGATCTCCTTCCTTTAAATTAGAAGTAGGCATCTTGTAAGAGAGCCAATTTGGTGTCATGGTTGAGGCATCAGGCTAGAAACTGGGAGACTGTTCTGGTCCAGCCGTAGGCACGAAGCCCACTGGGTGACCTTGGGCCAGTCACTTTCCCTCAGCCCTAGGAAGGAGGCAAGGGCAAACCACTTCTGAAAACCCTTGTCAAGAAAGCTGCAGGGACTTGTCCAGGCAGTCTCCAAGAATCAGACACAGTTAAATGGATTAAAAAAAAAAAAAAAAGACCACCTGGGGCTCATGGGCCATATGTAACTCTTGGTCTACTTTCATGTGGTCCTAGACTTAATTTCAAAAACCCTCTACAGTTGATCAGTCCAGACTTCTTGTAAGAGCTATCTCCTTTGATAGCGTGCTGTCTGGAAGAAAGGGAACAAGAATAAGAAGAAGTCTGAGAAAGAATGGGCGTCCTTATCCATTTCTTTCTGGCCCCACCCACAGGTTGATGTTTGAGACAGTGTGGTGCTTCCCCAAGAGTTGCACTATACTGTTGCACTGTTAAGTCTACTTACATCTCATTATGAGATAAAGAGAAAGGGTTGCTGTTTCACACATAGTATCAGGCATAATATGGCTTGTTTGGTTTGGCTTAGCACAGTGTATAAATCCAGCTGTTGTAATTTATAAACCATGCTGTATGGCTTAATAAGGCTGGTAAACCAGGCCATTGTGGCCTGTTCAACAAATTATGATTAAAATGAGTCATGGTTTAGTGTGCAATCCCAACCAGGGAACTTTGCTAAGGAGACCCTAAGTTTTGTGAATATTAGTTTGAGCAGGGATTCGTTCAAAGGACTGCAGTGGTCATTTTGCACACCATTTTTTTTTTCATAATTACAAACATGTCCATCGTCTATCCTAACCTCTTTCTTGCTAAAGGCCTTTGGAGGCGATCGATATAGCAAGAGACAGCAAGTCCCAACTTAGTATGGTTATCCCAAATGCCAACTCTAGAACCTCCCATATCATGCAGGAGGCCATCTCAGTTGCTGACAAATAGCTGATCTCTCTTCCGTGTGGGTTTGCCAATGTATATGGAAGGTAGAGGAAGCTACTTAACTGTAGCACGCATGCCAGCATCACACATCCTGGGCTGGCTGGCTTCTCCAGAGGGTGAGCTGATGCACACGTTGAGGAGCAATGGAAGTGGGAAGTAAATGAGTTCTGTGAGAAGCCCCTTCTTCCTCCAAACGTAAACCTTCCCTCTGTTAGCTAGCTCTCTCCCCACCCAAACTGAACAGCCTGCTGTGTGTGTGCAACTGGCTGGAGGATAGGAAGGAGTAGGGCAGAGATTACTAATGTGGGATTGGGAGCTGTTAGGTATCACCCCCACCCCCAATGGCATCTGTCGTCTCTCAACATTAAATTTGATTAAGTATTGCCAGTGTGAGATTTCATCTTATAAAAAAAAAATGTGGGTATGTATATTTGCACCTGGATCATTTGCAAGATTGCATGAAGGGACCCAGCAGCTGGAAAGGGTTTGGGTGCCTAGAGTAGTTCAGCTGCAGCCTTGTGTTTATCTGAGGTGGCGTGCCAGGTCAAGGGAAGAGGAATGTTGGTGTTCCAGAAGACAGCAGCGTTGGGGCTGGGGAAAGAACGATTGTGCAGTGTGCTTGCCTGGGGATGCAAGAGGTTCTGCTTGTGTGCTCGTTTTGATCCACAGCGCTCAATGCAGTTGTATCTCATCCATGCTGTTATTTTCTCCAGAACATGCTGCGGCAGCAGGAGGAACTAGAGAATGGGGCAGCCTGGTCCATCTCTTCAGAGTCATCAGATGACTCTTCCAGCCCCCAGCTGTCTGGAAGTGCCCGACATTCACTGCCCAGGCCTATTGTGCAACCCGCAGTGCAGGTCACTGCACCTGCCATTGAAATTGCTTTTACCCAGCCTGAGGTCAAAGAACCAGCAGTCCGAGAGGAGGCTGCCATGGCAAACGGACACGTGCCCTATGCCCGGACTCTTAGCCAGATCAGCGAAGCAAGCGTAGATCTGCCAATGGCAGAAGAGAGGGAGTGTCCTGTCCCCAACGACTCTAGCCCTTGGGATGTCCCTCCCCTGGAAACGAACTCCTTGCCCCCAAGTGTGGGCTCGCCACTGGACACTCAGATCTGTGAGAGTGAAGAGCAAGAGGGTGAGTCTGATGGGGCCACCCCTGTTGCAGAGGAGAGCAAGGACACTCCTGGTCCAGCCCAAGAAGTTCAACAGCCCAAGTCCTCATTGGCCCCGTCAGCCCTGGGAGAGCTTCAGCCATCAGGAATCTCAGAAGCCCCAAGGCCCAAACCTGTGGACTCTGGCCTGGAGGAGGCCATCAACACACTGGCTTCTGCTCTCGATGACTATCGGGGACAATTCCCTGAGTTGCAGATTCTGGAGCAGGAACTCAAGCACCTTGAGGAGATTCTCTTGGTAAGTGAGTGGGTAGAGGGCTTAGGACCACACTAGAGGCTGGATAGGGTTCTCATAGCATTTTAAAAAATAAACTGAACATTGCAAATTTTAGCAATTTCTTTTGCTTTATCTCAGGGACATTTTTTGGCATCTGGAACATCTCAAGAGAGTTAGTGATTCCATGAGATTTTACTGATTTAAAATAAATGCTACATTAATTTATTTTGGAAAGTCCCCACTCATGTTTTGGGATCTAGTAATTACCATTCTACATGACTGCTGCCCTTTGGAGTTCTTGAATTCCTCCAGCCAAAACCTAGTTTTGAGAACTTGCCTAAATTATGCAAGCTATCTCACATTGTGCACTTTTGTTTTATGTTTATGTATGGTTTGCATAATTTTTGCCAGTTCCAGGAAGGAACACAGAAACGTTGAAGGGACCAATGAAGCTATACCTCCTGAGTGCAGTAAATCTTTTCAGATATGTTTCTCACCACATCTGTTCCTATGAGCGTTTGAGGGCGACTTTGGGTATATCGTCAACTCACACACTTCCGCCGTGTTTTTTCACAAGATAACCTTCCTGCCTACGCATCAGAGGCCCAATTTTCTCCTCCTTGGGGGTGGCTGTTTTGAGAAGGAGGGATGGAGTGAATGAGATACAAGACTCCTGCAGAGAAAAGCAGAGAAGTCTGCATAGTTTATACTCTTCTGTATATGCTCTAGACTGCAATTTTAGGCTTCGATGTTCACACACACCAAGGAAGATAGAAATATGTTCTTCTAGCAATGTTTCTTTGTATTTTAATGAAAACTCAGTTTGCCGAGATGTTGAACTGCTCTGATGTAGGAACCTACCAGATTTCCTACAGATGATCTTCTGTGTCAGAAATTAAGGCCCAAGGATTTCAGCTGAAAAGGTGTAACTCTCAGGCATCCTCCCACCTCATCTTTCAACATTTGTTTGGAAATTAGACACTGGGTGCTTTGTTTTTGTGTAGTGTGTGTGTTTTCTCTTTTGCACTTTGGAGCTCCATTCCAGCAGGGCAAGAAGCAGAGCAGTAAGGAGAATTGTTCAATCTAAAATAGACCAAAGAGAGAACCTGTCTGATACTTGTTTTTATTTGCATCCTACAAGCAAAAGCAAGGGCTGTGCCTGAGCCGAGCCTCCAGTACCAGCTTGACGGTGGAACACGCACTTGAGAGTTTCAGCTTCCTCAATGCTTCTGATACAGAAGACTCAGAAGGAGATGATGACAAGTGAGTGGGGGTGGCCAAGACAGCTTGCTCAGATCCAAGTGTAGATCACCTGAGAAGAGGGCCTTAGTGAGTAGGGTGATGACACCAAGAGGGCAGAATTATAGCATATATGTGTTGAGAACCAGGATGTTCATCTGATGATCCACAAAAGTTAATGTAATAATAATGTTACTCCTTTAAGTGCTGCAAAACTCTAACTTCCTGCTTTGCCAAAGGCTAAGATATCTTCCTCTTTGCAGGACAGCCAGGCTGCCTAGTTGTAGCAGTTATAATCGACAGGAATTTCATAGGATTAAAAAAAAAAAAAAAAAAAAACCGGGGGCCCTTTTTTTGATCTTCGCCTCACAGGGTGGCTCACCTCTGCTTTAAGGCCGCTTTTCAAGTCTGGTGCCCTCCAGAGGTACTGAGAGGGCAACTCCACTCCCAGAATCCTCAGGCAGCATGGGAATTCTGGGAGTTGCAATCCTGTCATTCCTTGGGGACACCAGGTTGGAGAAGTCTGCCTTAGATAGGGTAACCGCCCGTGCCAAAGAGGCCAACTCCCAAGGAATGCTTCTCAGTATCTCCTGTGCCTGGCTGAAGCCTGCTCCCTCCAAGCTATTATTTTGGCGTGGCTTGCTATAGAATGCCAGTGACTTTTCCCACGGTGCTGATGCAGCTGTTGGAAATCGGCGTAAAACCATCTGGTCTAACAGGTGGAAGCTAGTAGAAAATGCAGCAGCAGCACCACTCTGTGGCCAGTGGTTGATACCGCTGCTATGAACTGTGCACTCCCCCCCCCTTTCCACTTGCAAGCGAGAAATATTGTGCAAGATCCTTTGACTGACTTTTCCAACCACATTGGACTTGAGTTGACCCTGCCTTCTCTACCTGGTGCCCAAAAATCAAGGGCAAATTTATTCAATGAGTTGAGATCAGTTTGGGCAGGCCTGGGAGCCTTTGCATTTTGCCTGTAAGCTGAATCTGGCCACCACGCGCTGAAAGCAGGGATACGGCCCAGGTGGGAGAAGCTGGGTTTACGGAAGACAAGAACCTCATGTATGTTTTGCCCGCTGCCTCTCATTACAGGGTGGCGATGGCGAGCAGTGCGCAGGCTACATCTGTGGGCAAGGTGCCAGGTGACGCTGTGGCTGAAGACTCCGCTGGGTGCCTGAGCTCGGAGGGCAGCTTGGAGCCCATGAGCACTGGCAACGAATTCCTTGACAGGGCCCTGGTCCTGCATCTGAACCACTGCAACCGCTTGCTGCTAGTGAGTATGAAGCAACGCTTTGCTGCCGGGCATACGTCTATCCTGATTTTAAAAAAAAAAACCAGAGCTTTCCAATAAACTGGAAAGACATAATTTGATGATTTATTTATTTATTGAGCAAATCTATATAGCTGCCCATCTCACAAAACGTGAGTCTGGGCGACGTACAATGCATAAAAACAATAAAAACCATAAAACACTCAAATGTAAATAAAAGAGAAAAATCAAGGTAGTGAAAGAATGGTCACTTGACATCACACAACCACCTTGCCGGCTCATCATGGGTTGATGGAGAAACCACGTTTTGAGGGCTTTCCAGAAGGCAAGCAGGGATGGTGCCAACCTCACCTCTGGGGGAATGTTGTTCCAGAGGGTGGGGGCCACAGCAGAAAAAGCACGCTGTCTGGGTCCCCCCAGATGGAACTCCTTAGAGGGGACCATTAGCATACCCCTCTAAGGAGTTCCATAGAGCTGTCCAGAGTCACCTGTTGGGGGGAGATGGGCGACATACAAATTTAATAAAATAAATAAATACCCCTCCTGCTCGACCTGATGGGGTGGGTAGATGTAACTGGGAAGAGGTGGTCCCTCAAATGATACGATTTGATATGATCGTTATCAAACCTGTGCTCTTTTTGTGCTTCGTTGTTCACCACCAGAAGTCCTTTGGGATGGCGTGGCCTACAAATGTTGTGAAACAAAATAAAGAAATCAACCACAACAGCTTTTTTAAAAGGCAGCAACCTAGAAGTACCAAGCTTTAGAAAAAGCTCTTCTAGTTAACAATTTCCAGAATCTGGGTTTTGGTGAATGAATTCAGAATATTGATAAACGAGAACGGAGCCTTAGGTATTCTGGCCCCATATTATTTAGAGCTTTGTCAGGCAATTATCAGCAATCAAGGTTTTCCCAGAAGCTAATCAGGACAAGAGAGCAGTACAACCTTTGGGTGGGCCAAGGGCCAGCCATGCTTGGAATCTCATTCCAAAAGGTGGGTGGGGTATGATATAAATATACTTTAAGTTATGAAATACATGAAGTAATAATTTTCCACATCTGACACATTAACATTATAATTCAGCAGCTGTTTTGGCCTGGGTTCCAAGCTAAGAGTTTGGAAGTGCACATATAATCCTGAGGCCTCAGACTATGTACCCCTGCTGTGCAGGAAACCTGGATTTTGCTCTTCCTGGTTTGCAAAACAATGCACATTCATTCCTACCTTAAAAACACATTGCACAATATGCACTGGAATCGGGTCTCCTCTCCTGACCATCTTTTTGTGATGTGTGTCTTGATTCCTAGAAACTGGGCAACTTTGGACCTCTTCGCTGCCAGGAAATGTATGCTCTTGACAGGTTGGCAAGAGAAGTACAGGTTCTAGAGATGGTCTGTCGCCTGATAGTGGATCGAGCGGGGCTAGCCAGCTCTGCTGAGGAAGGTAGGAAAATGGGCATCCAGAGGGTGCATCTGGAGATGGCAGCATCTGTCCCTGGCATACATTTATTCTTGGGGAGGAAGGGATCAACACTGAGCAATCAGAACATGTGGGCAGAGCATATTCTCTCCTGGAAGACAACCCCTGGGTGTGTAATTAAGGGGTATAAGGATCTGCATCAAAAGCACAGTTGGGATGTATTTCTTTCCTTGTGGAGTTTGGTTTCCTTCCACCTTTGTTTATGGGAAGAACTTGCTGACTTGAGATTGTTATTAGCCATGCCACTTTCCCCATAATTCCGTGTGGCAGAGTGACTTTTCTGTTTTTTCCCCCAAGGGTCCATCTATTTATTTTATCCATTCCTTATATTCATTAGCTACCTAATATCAGGATACTTTTAAAAAAAAAGTTTGTAGAACCAATTCTGAGCCAGATGTTTGTGACCTCAAAACTGCTAGCCAATCAGCGTTGTGCATAGCTGTTTTCCAGTACAGACCTGAATAGTTGCTTTTCTGTGAACATAACGTGAGAGTGTGATAGAGGAATAAGGTACACTTGGATCATAAACCTAAGTGTACTTCCATTCGTTTGGATGAATTAATGTTTATAAGCACTGTGTAGGCCAGTGTTTCTCAACCTTGGCCACTTTAAGATGTGTGGAGTTCACCTCCCAGAATTCCCCAGCCAGCCATGGGGAATTCTGGGAGCTGAGGTCCACACATCTTCAAGTGCCCAGGGTTGAGAGACACTGCTGTAGGCACCCCCACAGGGCAGAGGAAGAGAGTTTCATAACGTCAAGGCTGTGGATCAAGGGGAAGACCCTCCTTTGCGTAGTGATGGGGTAACCAAAAGCATTAGTTGAGGCTGTGCACCTTTTTCTGTTCTCAGTGGTACAGTTCTCCAAGTGGAAAGAAGGAGTTTTCCCCTTCTGGGATAGTTGCGTGGCCGTCCCTAATGTGTACACCTGCCCCGTTGAAAAGTTCATGCAGACGTTCAAGGCGGAGTTTGCAGCACGAATCAACGACCGCCAGCAGGGCTTGGCGGATTCAGGTGAGTGTATTTTACATTCAGAGCAATTCCTGTTTTCTGTGCTTGCTTCTCTTTCTTCACTATCCCTGGATTCTGGAGTTTCAAATGGCACTGTGCTCTGTGATCTGAATAAAGTCTGCCATGGAAACGTGGATCTACTCTGGGGACGGGGCAGGCACATCATGCATGATTGACAAGAGTCGCACGGGAAGGGCAAATGGCTAATCTGATCTGCTAAGCAGCCTTCTGGGTCTCCCCTCCCCTCTACCCCTCTGTTTTGGGGAACTCACAAGAAACAGCTTGCATTTTTTGCCCTACGGGGCTGCATGGTTGGGATTCTTTTTAAGCTAGGCCTACCAGAGCTGAATTATCAGCCAGGGACAACATTGTACACTTTCATAATGAATTTCTTTCTTTCTTTCTTTTTTTTTTTACACGCAAGATAGACACAGCCAGAGAAGTAGCCAGCTGGACTTTTATGGAGGACTTACCTTGAGAGTACTTTTAGGTTTCTCGTTGACATTGGATTATTTCAGCAATACATCCAAAACTCACTACTTCCAAGAATAGCGTTTCGCTACCCATAGCAGGCATCTGAGCCTTTTTCTCTTCTTGATGGGCACAGTTGAGCCACAACTGGGACCAGCAACTGTCGCTAATTGACCCAGTCATAAAGTGAAAAGTCACATGACTGCGTCTGACTTATGACATCAGTTTGTCAGTTCCATCTGTGGTGGTTAAGCGAATCACTGCGGGTCATTAAGCGTGACATCACATGACTGTGACTTGCGACTTCTTGCCGGCTTCCCCATTGACTTTGCTTGTCAGAAACTCGCAAGGAAGCCCGCAAATGGCAATCATGTGACTGTAGGATGCTGCAACGTTGTAATTGCAAGCCGATTGCTAGGTGCCCAAATCACGATCACGTGAGTGTGGGGATGCTGTGACGGCTGCAATTTCAAGGACTGGTTGTAAGTCTCTTTTTTCAGCGCCATCATAACTTCCAGTAGTTGCTGAATGAGTGGTCACTAAGCGAGGACTACCTGTACTTGTTGGATGCTGTTGTTCTTGGGTTGTGTTGAGGGATAAGCAGAAGGATTCACATCATTTATATACAGTATTTACAATCCTATTCAGGCAGCAGTTATTCCATCCAGTGCTAGTTCCTAAGATTTATATCCGTTGTACTAGTCCCTCAAATAGCAGATGGTGACTTACATGCTACTTGGGTGCGGCTTCAAGAAGCTTGACAGTTCTATTGTTAGCATGCCCTACATACATAGAAACCACACTTAACACATGGAGTATCTCTGTGTGTGTGCTTCTTCCTGTTGCAGTGTGTGTAAAGCTGGTGGAAGAACTTCTGCAACATAGACTACCCAGGCGTCAGCAGAGTTGTCAGGCTGAGCAGGTCACCCTCTTCCAATATTGGAGCCACTTTGAGGTCCTGCCTGTTGTTACACTGGACTCCTACATCTCGGAGCTGGCTGAAGAAGGTATCATATGCTTAGCAAGACTATAGTGGGGTGGGCAGCCATTTTGCAGCAGAGGGCGCCAGGGAAGGGTCTAATGGTCCAAAAGAGAAAAAATTGTATTGCTGAAGATCAGTGTGTTTGGTTTTACAATTCAGTGACTCAATCTAAAGGTATTTTGGGGCTACCCAGACAACTCAACTCTTCTAAGATACAAGGAAAGTTCCCCAGTATGCTTTATACCACTTGATGGTATGTGAATAGCCGCCATGAATCAAATGCCATAAAATGGCCTCTGTGTGATCTCAAAAGTGAGAATTTTCAGTGTGGACCACCTTATTGTTTGAAAGAGAGGAACCTTTTAAAAGCCATCCAGAGGGAAAGCTATGTGACTGGGTTTGTGATTTCCCTAGTTGGAATATTGTCAGTTGCTTTGGGCAGGATCAGACTTGAATCATAATGTCGTTAATAACAATGCTTGTTCTTTAATTTGCCTGCAGTCCTGCTAGCACAAAACCTCAACTCTGATGACCAAGATGTGGTCTTGAAAGCACTGAAACGAGTTCCTGAGAGCCGGCTACGCAAGGATGGACTGAAAGCTTTGAGTTTGCTTCTTGTTGAAGGAAACACCAAAGTTATTGGGGCTGTAACGGCACAGTTGCGCAACCTGTCAGAGAACCCCAGTTTTCGGGAGCGGGCAAGTATCTGTTTCTTACCACTGCATGGGAGTGGATAGATTAAAAGATACCTGGTCCTTGCATGCAGCCACATGACACATTCTTAAAGGAATCATTTTCATTTCTTGGGCTTTTCACAATGAAATCTGATTGCTGCAGTTTCGTGGAGATGGGGAGACTTGCTCACTAATTGTAGGAAACAGTATTGTGGGTGGCAGATTTTATGGTGTTGGTTGTATGATGAAGGAAGGAAGGTCTTCATAAAATCTGTTACTCACTATTCTTTATTTATATAAACATTCAAAGCCAGGGGGCTTAAAACAGACACAATGACACACATCACCCTAGAAGAGGTTGCTTTCTGTTGAGCCCAAGCAGACTGATTGGTGTTTTTTTCTCAGGCCCTTATCTGCTTCTTGGAGCAGTTGGAGGATGAAGAGGCACAGACGCGAGTTGCTGCCTGTGCTGCTCTGGGCTGCCTTAAGGTGAGGGCTGATTCTCTGGGTATTATCAGCTGAAACTCTTTGTTGTTCCTTATATTTACTAGTTGGTGTTCTTCTGTTGGGTGAAGGCAGCACTTGGAAGGAGGTAGCTTTTAGGAGAAATGCCTTCATTGGCTGACCTGTTCTCTCTGCAGTTTTTAGGGGCTTGTAGTTCTATTTGAATCTTCAGCCAATTTCATAACATGTCTGTGGGAGTAGCCTGAACAGAAAAACTAACTTAGCACTCTTGACAAAGATCCATTTTGCTCCTTGAGTGCAACCCCCTGCTTTAATGGGCAGGAATCCACATTAATCAGAATCAGATTAAAGCATCTCCTAGAAGTGTCTCTGAATACACCCAGGCATAGGAAATCCACTGCTAACTTAATCATTGGTTTGACCATCAAATTGCTCTTCCTGTAAGGATTTCCCCCCTCCTACCCGCCCCCAGGGTTCCAGCAGGATGTCTTCCCGTAACTGAAGACTGTTCTTCCAAGTACTGTAATTGGGAAGGTAGAATGCAGGTCATGGCCTTTGTCTGTGCAGCCTCCCTTCAGGTCCTTGGAGAATGCTGTCATTTCCTCTGTCTTTTCACTCCCCCAACCTAACAGGCCAAGGAGAGCATTGAACAGCTGGTGTATCTGTGCCAAACTGACAAAGAGGCCGTGCGGGAAGCAGCCAGACAAAGCCTCCTCCTGTGCGGTGAGTGCGGCCCCCTTGCTCTCTTCCCAGCCTTCTCCCCACCTTAGGAGGGGGCTTTCCATAGGGGTTGTGGCTGGGGGGGGGCAGGGGGCAAGGTGGTCAGTACACCAGGAATTAGTTCAGTTTACTCTGTACTAGATGGCTCTGCAGTGCTTGTGCTGGCCCGTAAGGCCATGGGGTATTCAAGCTTTGTTCCCCCTAAATCTGCAGTCCTTCTCTTGATCTCTGCTGGTACCGCAGATGAGGATGGCCTCCCACTTTATCAGCACTGCCCCTTGCTTAGCAAATCTTGACGCAGCATCCTGGGAACAGAACGAAGGCACTTACATAGTCCTTGCTGTTTGTTATCCTTTGCTAGATGGCACTGAAAGAACCCTCTGATGGGCTCAGTAGACTTCTGGTTCAGGACAGCAGCTACGCAGGTCGGGATCTGTTAGCCATCCTTCCCTGCCCCCGCTGCATGTCTAACCGGTGTCTTTCTTCCTGGGTCCCATCAGCCCTGATATTGTTGGGCTTACGTCTCCACTGTGGCCCTGAGTTGTAGGCATCCTCCAACTCTGCTTGTGTTTTGGCTGTGTGTGTCTGTGTTTTTGTGGCACATGGAATGGCACACTGGTTGAGGGACTCTGCCTTAGTCCTGGACAGAAGGACCAGGTTTGCACAACATGCTACAATGGACTAAAATGAGATTGGGTAACTTTGTGTGTTGTGTGAATGTAGTAACTGTCTTAGTACAAGTAAATTACGCTGTCCTGTTAACCCTAAATATGGTTTATTTGTTCAAATGTTGCATGCAGTATGAGCCCAATAATTGTATTTTGTTAATTCAGGCTTAAGATCTAGCATGTGGTGTGAACCTAGTGAGTATGAGTCCATCTAGTACAGCATTGCCCATGCTGTATGGCCTTAGCTTGTCGTGGCTTTTGATAGGGCCCCCACAAGCAGAGGAGGCTCATCTAAAGCATGGTTCAGAATTTCAAATGATACTTTTCATTCAGCCCAGTAAAACTAGCCAGTTTCATTTATTGTGTGAATCAGAGGAGATAATAAATATAATTCCAAGATTATTTCAGAGCCATCGATTTCAGGAGCCCTAAATAAGTGGTGCTTGAGAGCTCAGATGTCCAGACCTCTTAAAAGGGTCCTGTCTTAACCCTGCTTAGGTCTTTCCCTTCACCTGATACCTGGTCTTTTTAATCGGAGAAGTCAGGTATCAAACCCAGTTCTTTTGCAGGCGAATCACATCCACCTTTTGGATTTGTCATTAACCTCCCTGTATTTTCCTACGTCTTGGCTTTAAGGAAAGCACATTTCATTGCAGCTCTGAATGACACCTTTCAGCTCAGAGTGTTTTGCATTTTTAAGAAGCTTGAAAAGTTTGGCAGAGTAAAGATTCTTCACAGGTGCTTTATTTATTGTAGAGTGGGAGAGCAAGAGGAAGATAGTCTCAGATTGGGAAGGGCTAACCCTTCTTCCTTCAAAATGCACTCCCCCCACCCCATGAGACTGTAGTCTCTCTGCTGATACCAGCAGAAGCTAGTTTAAACCCTTGCCAAGAAGAAGCTCAGAAACAACGGGCTGGAAGTTCCCCGTGCTTGTCATATGCTAGGAATACTTATCAAAGAGACCATAGCTAATGAAAGTAGATGTTGCATTTTTTCCTGACTGTGGTTGCTTTATATGCCCACTCAAAAGCCAGATCTGGCCCTTGGCCTGAGAAGCACCACACACTCATATCCTATCTTCCTAAACTTCTGGCTGAATTTTATATTTCACAGCTACTAGGCTTAAAAACATACTGCTTTGGTAATCTGCAAATTCTCCAAAGTTGCCCTCAGGGGAGCCAGAAGAGGCCCATGAAACTGATTTCTGTCTAAATGTGGACTGTAGCTACTCAGATTCTACAGAATTCTGAGAAGCAGCAAGATGATTTAATTTCTATGTGCTATATTAGCCTTCCCCAATCTAGTGCAAATCCCCAAATTATCAAAGTTCCTAGGAATTCTGAGAGTTGCTGCCCTAGTGTCTCCAGAGATGCCAGATTATTGGTGATTGTGTTAAACATTCCTTATCTCTGAAGAGCTAAGGGAATGCTTAAGGGACAGTGAATAAAAACAAGGATATATTTGTACAAACTGAACAAAATGGTTGACCTTAGCCTAAAATGAGTGGTGCAATTTCTAAATTGGAATCCACATGCTATACATGATCTGTTGCAATGTCTATCCAGCCATTCTGTGTTACCACCTTTAGGTTGTCACCTTTACCTGCTTAGCATGCCAAGATGCCTCTTGCTGTGAATTTCACACACAAAGTTCTCCAGCTTGTCAACCCAATAATGTATGTCTCCCAACCATTGTTCCTGTGTTTACATGCATGTGCTCCAAACAAGCAAATATCAGCATGGAACAAATGATAAACATTATATCTTGCCCTGGCTTGAATGTAAGAGATGGCAGAAATAGTGAAATATATGGCTCAGTTGAAGGGCTTCACACATCACATTATTCCATGTTTGGCTGGCCCCTCAAACAAAATTTTGTTGTGACTTAGTGAGATGTAAGAGCTATATTAGAGACTTAGCAGAGAATAGGGAGTTGGTAACCAAACCAAAATATTTAAGAACAACTGAGCGCATACTTATTCTTAAGCTGACACTTCCCCAAAGGAAGAATTTTGGCAGTTAAATTATCCATTCTGAACAATTCTTATAGCTGGATCATGGCTCAGGGTCAAAATTCAAGATGTGATTAGACCACCATAGTGTATAAACCATGTTCCTGAAAAGCTGCCACCATTTTGCCTACAAGCGAGCAACCACATTAATGAAACTTCAAGAAGCTAGGATATTTTTTACCCATGTCAGATTTTTGTACATGGCCAAGAATGTACTGTCAAGGCCCATAGTCTAGCATTTACGACCTTGTGTCCAAAGTTGGGACAGAAATTATCCTGATGGGCAGCTGATTTCTGTCTATGTTTTCAGGGGAAGATGGCAAATCAGCTCACCGAAGGCTTGAAGAATCCCTGGACAGTTTGCCACGGATCTTTGCCCCAGGGAGTATGGCCAGTACTGCATTCTGAGAGATGCAGCCTCAATTCACCTGCTGATCCAGACTTTGCATGCCACAGAACTTCAGCGGAGTAACTCAGACCGAAGTCAAATCGGCATATCGCAGAATGGGCAGCTCTTTCACTTTTGGTGCGTGTCCATGCAGCAGTATGAATACCACTGGCCTGCTGCCTTATGTGGAGAAGGCCTTGTCCTAGCTCTTTGGCTCTAGCAGCTAACAAGTGTGAGGCATTGAGGAAATCCCCTCTGTTGTTTCTCCTTCTACAGAAGTCTACTGAATTTGGAGGGTGGTGTTGAAGTGGGCATCTTGTCATTAGCCAGGACCAAAATAGATCCCTGTCTGGAGAAAACCAGCAACGGTTGCAAAGGCCATCGATTTGAGATAAACTTGGAAAAATGTATGTTTAAAGTCCTGCTTAATGTTTAGCCTGTTTATTTTTCAACTGTTTCCTCCACCCTCTGGGACTGTGAATTCTGCAGGAAATTGGGGCCAGCTATCCTCTGCTACTGCTTTGGACAAACTACAGATTCCTCCTCTTGATTGCAGAGGGGAGAGAGACCCGAAAGATGATAGGAAGGAGTTCTTCATTCCCAGTGAGAGAAGGGAAAGAAATGTCTTTTTAATGACGATGCTATGGAAGATGGAAACAAAACAGGCAGAAGTTGCCTCTTCTTGTGCTATTTTAATATTTTGTGTGTGTGTGTGTGTGTGTGTGTTGGGGGGAGGAGAGGCTACAGCCAAATGGAAGCAAAACGTCCTTTTCTACAAAGTATCTATAAATTTATCTGTACATCTACATAGCTATATAAATATATATAATGTAATTATCAAGAGGTTTGGCTAATTTTGACTTTAAGCCTGAAATAAACTGAAGTTTGAGCAAATAAATTGAAAGTGTGTAATTTTGTGGACTCTTTTTGGCAGCTTCCCATAGCTGCTGTGGGAAGTGAGGTACTGCAGATGAATTGGGTCAGCAAAATGTAACAGCTTTATTTTATCATCTGTAAAACAAAGAAGACAGGCTTAAGCTTTTTTTTTTATTTTATTTTTTGCCCCCAGAAGCCAAGGGCAACTTTGAGGACTGAACACATGTAACAAGCCAGCCTGTTTTGCAGACTGGAAAGCTATTTATTTACAATATTCATTTCTAGTCTTCCTTTAAAGTACTCAGAGTAGCTTAAAAAAAGACTCAAACAACATGGAAAAATAAGTCAAGCTTGTAGAAATAATATTTCAGTGATTACCTAAAAGAAGACTTCTTGTGAGATGCTATTCTAATCTGAAAAAATTAAGAAAAAAAAAACAACAAAGGAAAATAGTTCCTCAGGCTGAGAATTCTTAGTCATCATCTCCTAAAAACATTCACTCCAGTTTTTGCCACTGTCAAAGTGACTAAGAAAAATTAACATCACCTCAAATTGCCTAAGAACACCTAATCCTGTTCTGTTGTTCAGCCAACAGAAGTCCATTGCAGTTGGGTGGCTAATAAATTCAAATAAATTAAAAAAAAAAAGCCTGAATGGAAAACATTGGGAACAAAGTGTTAAGAAGGAACTAACAGTACATTTCAAAAAGCTATAAATGATACAGGAAATAGGAGAAATATTATAAAAATATGTGCCCATGACTCTTTTATTTCCTAAAATGAGCACGGACATCCCTCGATTGCATCCTGACCAAGGTGCAAGCAGAATTCTTTTGACCTACAAGTCTTTCGCAGTTTCACGAAAATCCTGAACTCCTGACCTTCACTCATCTAGAACTAACCAGGTTCTTCAGCAATATTGTTACCAAACCCACTTAAACCTTATTGCCTGTACCTTGACAGACAGCAAACAAACAAATCAAGGAAAATAAGGGATTATATTGCTCTGAAAAAATCAAGAGAGTAATATACAGTGTTCTTTAAAGGGGCTGCCAAAGTAATCCATCCTTGTGCTTCATGATCTCTCGGCCACAGTGTCCTTCTAAGCTGGCTCTGTGGGTTAGGGATTTGAGGGCACCATTTTACAGCGGTTCTCTTCCTTTCTTCAGAGCTGGTTCCAGTCGGTGTTGGCGAGAGGTGACTCCCTAGGCCAGTGTTGTCCAAACGTGGCCACTTTAAGATGAGTGCACTTCAACTCCCAGAATGGCTGGCTGGGGGATTCTTGGAGTTGAAGTCCACTCATCTTAAAGTGGCCACGTTTGGACAACACTGGCCTAGGGAGTCACCTCTCGCCAACACCGACTGGAACCAGCTCTGAAGAAAGGAAGAGAACCGCTGTAAAATGGTGCCCTCAAATCCCTAAC